TGGGGACCCTCTTGGCTACAACTAAACTCTCCCCACCCCACAGGCCCCCAACATTCCCCTAGAGCTGGGGTTGGAGCAGCTGTTTCAGGAGCTGGCAGGAGAGGTGAGGAGGTGGGGACAGGGCTAAGGGGGTCCCACCCCTTCCCTTACCCTGAATGCCTAATTTCCCCCCTCTGTTCTTAAATTGCATGACCTCTCAAAATGCTCACAACTCTCCCCTGCCTCAGGGCCTTTGCTCCGTCTGAGAGCTCTCTCCCTTCACCCACCCCTGCCCAGGCTACTCCTTCCTCTTTCCTGCCCTTGGCTTAAAGCTCTCCTAACCCTCCCCAGGCTGGTCAGTCACATGCCCTCTATGGGATCCCACAGCCCAGGGCTTCCCCATTGCAGCCCTGACCACCCTCCCTGGACTGTGAGCTCTGGAGAGGGCAGGCCTGGGCCATCTGCTCTGTCCCCAGCGCCTTGTTGAATGGCTTCCTGAGTGAATGGCCTCATAACTGGCTCTCTCCTTGACCAGGAGGAAGAACTCAGTGCCACTCAGCTCCAGACCTTATTAAGCATCGCCCTGGAGCCTGGTGAGCTGGGGATCAGAGTGGTCCTCACGGGGAGCAATCCTCACGGGCCCCCTATGTGTGTGAATCTATGCTGCTGCTGGGAGTCAGGCCTCAGGAACCCTGGGCTCAGCCTGATGGCGTTTCCTCATACATGGGTCCTGTGGCAAGGCAACAGCCACTCATAAGCCCTTTTCCTTTAAGGGAGAGGCAGGGAGTGTGGCTGCTACTAGCACTCAGAACCCCCTTAAAAAATCCCAGCTCGGTTAGTTACCAGAAATCCTTTGACTCTGTGTGCCTGTTTCTGTAAAATGGGGGTGCAGTAATCCCTATCACTCACAATGATGGCCGGCCCATAGGAGTTCAGGGTTTTTGTTTTCTGTAGCCAGAACCCACACCTGGACCCTCAGAGAGATTGGACTCAGGACCTGTGAGCAACTGCTGCAGTGTTTTGGGGTATATGATGGGAGCCGTGCCTGGGTAGGGAGGATGGGGATGTTGGGGGCCTCTGCTCCCCTTCTGGGGACTGACTTTAACCAGATGTGCCATCTCCAGCATGGGCGACGCCTGGCCTTTCACCACTTCCAGCAGCTCTGGGGCCACCTCCGGGAGTGGCAGGTAAAGTGGGGCCTTGGGTGGTGCCATCTCTGGGAAGGAGACACACTTTACTAACAGGGACACAGATGCTCTGTGGGCTGGCAGAGCAGGGGGACTGGCCCATACCATGCCAGCTTGGAGAGATCTGGCTGGGATGTCCCTGCCCCATCACCCTCTGTGGTCCCTCTCGGGGCAATGACCAGCTCAGGCATCAAGAACGAGCACTGGCTCTGGTCCCGGGTTGGCATTTCAGCTCTCAGCTCAGCCCCTTTCTGGCTGTGTGATCTCAGGCCAGTAACCTCCCCTTGGAGGCAACTTTGCTTGTCTAGCAATGGGAGGTGGAGATCCCCCCCAACCCTACCCGCCAAAACCACGAGAGAAGCAAATGGTCTAAGGCCTGTCTATACTAATAATGGTGATAAGCCACCATTTACTGAGCCCTCACTAGGCCCCTTGTGGGTAGTCTTAGCATGTCCTCAACAACCTTGTTACTGTTCTGTTTTTTAAAAAATATATCTTTATTGATTTCAGAGAGAGGAAGGGAGAGAAACATTAATCATGAGAGAGTCATTGATTGGCTGCCTCCTGCACGCCCCCTACTGGGGATTGAGCTTGCAACCCGGGCATGTGCCCTGACTGGGAATCAAACTTCGGTCTCAGTGATCTCCTAGATCCTAGGTCAATGCTGAACCACTGAGCCACACCAGCCGGGCATTGCTCTTACTGTTGATCCCATTTTACATACTGGGAAACAGGGGCCCAAAGGGGTGAAGCTGCTTCCCCAGGGCACGAAGCCAGGAAGGAAGGGAGCTGGGGTGGGAACCCAGGCTGTCTGGCCTCCGAGACTCCCTTCCAGCCCTCTTCAGGGAGCTCAGGGGCCTGGAGGGTGGGCCTGACCTATTGTTCCCCATCCCACCCAGGCCATATTCGACAAGTTTGACCAGGATGTGTCTGGGACCATGAACTCCCACGAGCTGAGGCTGGCGCTGAATGCTGCAGGTATGGACAGAGGCCCTGGGGTGAGTCATGGGGACAGGATCCGCTCCCCCTCCTGCCCCTTATCCTTAGAGGCCCGGCAGCCCACTCAGCTGCCAACATCCACAAAACTGACACCTTAGCTTGTTGTCAGCTCTTGGCAGGGACTGTGTGACCCTGAGAAGCCAAGAGGGATAATCCTGTGCGTGTGGGGAAAGGACCCTGTGAGAAGGGGATGGCCCAGGCACTGGTGTCTGAGAGGCCCTGGTCCCCAGGGCATGGAGGCAGAATGTCCTGTATTCCCGAGCTTGGGTCGGAATCCTAACTGGACTTACTCTTTGGGGCCCTGCCCTGGGCACATGTGCCCACCTCCTTGAGCCTCTACTTCCCTCTGTAAAGTGGCTCCAACACAGGGTGGCTGCGAGAGTGCGACCTTCTCCCTTGTGTGGAGGGGGCTGGGGAGGGAAATCAAACAGGAACTCCCAGATCCGCACCTACTGCATAGCGAAGTGAAGGGTAAGACAAGGGGAGGTCAAAGATCCAGGGACAGGCAAGGAAAGAAAGGAGCCCAAGACAGAGGGGGAGGGATGGAATCAGAGAGAAGGGACAGTGAGAAATGGAGTCCCAGACAGACAGCAGGGGCGAGAGAGGATGAGGGAAAGGTGTAAGTTTGTACTGTTTGTTAGTATCACCGAGCGCCTGGTACGTGCCTGGTGCACTAGGCAGAAGAAAACTGATCACATACTCTGGAGGGGCTGGCGCTCTGTGGTACAGCCAACAGAGCACCTAGGTCAGATGGTGGGAAGTGCTGGGGCCAAAGAAGAAAGCAGCTCAGGGTGCAGGAGGTGGGAGGGGTGAGGCAGGGCGGGCAGAGGAGGCTTCGCTGAGGTTTCAGCAGACCCAAAGGAGTGTGCCTTGGGGACACTTGGGCAATTGTTCTAGGCAGAAAACAACTAGTGCAAAAGCCCTGAGGTGTGGGCCTGTACCCCAAGGAGGCTGGTGTGGAGATGACAAGCAGCCAGTGTGGCTGAAGCCAAGTGGGGCAGGGGAGGTCAAAGGAAAGATTGGTGGTGGTGCGGGGGAGACAGGAGAGCCCCATGAGGCATCGTGAGGACTTTGGCTCTTTAAAAATTTTAAGTTATGTATAAGAGGGAAGAGGGAGAGGTAGGTCTAGGGTCAGGGTGCACGGGGCTGGAGCGACAGCAGTGTCTGGAGGAGGGAATGCCAGAGAGGGGGCCAGCAGGAAGCAAACTCTGAGACCCAGGAACAGGTGGGCAGTCTCAGGATGGGGGCATTGGCAGAAAACCTGATCCGATTCCGTCATAGTCTTTGCTCCACGAATAGTCCCTGAACACCTGCTCTGCTTGAGGCCCTGGGCCAGCTTATGTTGGTGACCAGAAACCCTTTCCTGACCCCCATGGCTTCCAGTCCAGGGAAAGCCCAGAGTGGTCAGGGTGGGGATGGGGGAGGCCCAGAGGAGATGCACGATGCTGTGTGCTGGGAGTATCTGAGGGGCTTCCTGAAGAAGCGTGAGATGAGGAGGAATGCCTCAGGCCAAGAGGGGAAGAGGTGTTCTGGGCAGAGGGGACAGCATGTACAGAGGAGGCAAGAAGCCCAAGGTCCAAGTGGAGGAGGGGAGGAGAGTGGGAGGCAAGGTTCGGTCTGTGAGGGCCACCATGTGCTCGGGACAATGGGGCCCTGGGGAGGGGTAACCAAGAGGTCATGGTCATTAGCAGTGAGCCTTGGGTAAAGTAGGTGAGGGACTTCACAAGTACCAGGGGACCCTGGGCAGGACCCCACATGAGGCACCACAGGACAGAGCCCACGAGAGTGGTCAGAGGAAGCTGAATTTCCATGAAAGGACAGCAGGAATTCCATCTAGAGGGGGCAACTGAAGGGCTCTTGCCCCTTCCACCTCCTCTGTCTGGGGTTTCCCATTACTCTGGGCACAGAAGCTCCACCCTGAGGGCAGACACAGGCCAGCGGTCACACCATCAGGATGAGGGGCGGCCCTGCCCCCCCCGACTTTCCAGGGCACCCAGAACAAGGCACAACGTGATGGCACTTGATGAGTATTTGTTAAATGAACACACAGAGTGTGGGGGGGGTGGGCTTTAGGAGGCAGCAGAAGCCAGTGAAATTATCCTCGAACTATTTATTTAGACCTGGGGACACGGAGGAGCAGTCACGCTGCAACCTTGAGTCCTGAAGCGTTATCTGTGACCTGGGAGAACCAGTGTTTGCAGCTTTGAGAAGCCTGTTTAGATTCCTCATCAGAGATGTTTCCTAAACTTTAGAAATCCCAATATGGAGTATAAAGAAACTGGCTCCATATGGAACTGATAGAATGTTTTGCTACACAGAAAAATATCCCAGGGCCCACTAGCAGAAATGCTGCCATTTATAGTAGTAGAAACACTGGCACAATTGGTATGTGCCAGACACTGTCCTAAGCTCTCTACACAGAACATCTTCACACTTCATGGAGTCGGGGCTGTCATAGTTACCATTTGACAGATGAGGAAACTGAGACCCATAGTGACCCAGTTGGGTAGAGGCAGAGCTGGGATTTGAGAGGTGGGAACAGGCCCCCATGGTGCCATGCTTAGGGAGGCTTCATGGCAGGCCAGGCTCAGAGGCAGCCTCTCCCTAGGCTTCCACCTCAACAACCAGCTGACCCAGGCACTTACTAGCCGTTACCGGGACAGCCGTCTGCGTGTGGACTTTGAGCGCTTTGTGTCCTGTGTGGCCCAGCTAACCTGCATCTTCCGTGAGTGCCACCCCTGGCACGGGCGGGGCACAGGGAGGTTTTCTCCCAGGGCAGGGGGACTGGGATGGTGGGCACTCACCCACCCCTCTCTGCACAGGCCACTGCAGCCAGTACCTGGACGGGGGCGAGGGTGTCATCTGCCTGACCCGCAGACAGGTGAGTGCAGGCTGGAGAGAGGGGGCAGCACAGGGCGGCTAAGGCAGGCGTCCCAGGAGACCCCTGCCTCAAGCCCACTGCCTTTTCTCACCCAGTGGATGGAGGTGGCCAACTTCTCCTAGAATCTCGGCACAGGAGCACCTGTAGCTGGAGGTGGGAGAGCTGCTGGGAGCCCTGCCTTTCTGTCAGCTTGGACCAGGGTTTATGCCACAGCAAGGGGGTCCTGAGCCAAACCAGCCTCCCCCGGCCCCTCCACCTCCCTGCCTGGCATTATGGGGGATGATGCTCTGACATCAGGCAACGGTTCAGAGCATGGCCTTGGGAGCCGGCCTGCCTGGAGTTGATTTCTGGCCCTACCACTCACCAGCTGGGTGACACTGGGCAGGTCACTGCCCTTTTGTGCTCTGCTCTCCTCGCCTATAAACAGGGAGGACGGCAGCGCTCTTCTTGGGCAGGCTACATGAGTCAGTGCTGGGTGCTCAGAACAGTGCCTGGCCTTGACTGGGCCCCCAGCAGCACTCTTATTTTACACACTCATGGGGAACAGGGATTGTGGCACCCCCAGATCCCGCCTCGCTCTGAGGAGAGGTACTGCATCACTGCCCTGCTGAAAAGTGGAGAGGAGAGCTAGAAAAAGAGAAGATACAGTAGACGCCTTCTTAAAAATATTACATGTTTTATTATCCTGTCCCCAGAAGGGTGGTTTATCCAGAAACCAAGAAAAAAATCAGAATAAAACAAAAGGAGTGGGAGAAAGGAACAAAACCATCAACTAACAGGCAGCCAGGCCAGCAGCCCACCCTCCACCTCAGGAGGGTCCCCAGAGACCCATGCCCGACGACAGACAACAGAAAAATCAATAAGGGGCTGAGGGAGGGGAGCAAATCAGCTATGTCTTCATTATGAGAGCAAGAGGCGGCAAAGATATGTTGCTAGGTGAATATATATTTATATAATAAATCCGTAAGTTAATAAAGTAAATAGTAATTCTCTCAAAGTTTTAATTTTTTTTATAGCTTTTTTTTTGTGATTTTTTTTTTTTTTTTTTTTTTTGTTTTT